CATGGGCCGGGTCGGTCAACTAGCTGCACCCCGCGCCGTTCCCAGGTTTGTGGCTGCAGTACTACTATCAAAACACTTGAAGCAACCGACGTTCGACTGGGAGCCGGCAGTAAACCGTCAACCAGGTTACGGCCGGGACCCTCATAGAGCTTTGCAAAGACCGAATCAGAGAAAAACGTTTGTGAATATGAGCTTGACAATTGAAGAAATGTTTTTTTAGGGTTTTACGCAACGTCGGTTCCTCCTAGTCGTTTGATCGAAATAATGCAGCTAGAGCCCTGAGAATTGCACCATCGAGCGCGTCATGATCGACTGCAGAGAATAAAAAAATTCATGCCCAAAACGAATTTCAAAATCTCTCACAATCTTCGAAAAATCGACCCCAGGTCACACTGTCCGCCCAGGCCGGGTCGGTCAACTAGCTCCACCCGCGCCGGAATGCCTCTAGCTCATGGATGCCGAAGAGCTCTACACGTGAGAAAAATACGAATTATCAAAACGAACTTCAGAATCTCAGAATCTTCGAAAAACCGCCCCCTTGCCTGGGAAACCTCTTTTGGGTACCTTGGGTTTCGTGGACCAGCGCAAGGCATATGGACATCGACTGCGCAGTCGTCTAGAACCTAAGCGCGCGTAGCGTGCGCGTGGTTATAGTATCTATATATACATGTACATGTATATTATATGTGTATGTGTATATATATATATGTATTGCACTACATCGAGTGCACGACATATGTTGCACCACGTGATGTGCACCGCACCTATTGAACCACATATTATCCAGCCACATAGGTTGCACCATAACACTCAAGCAGCACCACATAGCTTGCACTGCATATGCTGAATCGCATCGGTCCAAAAGCATGGATTGCGCACCATATGTTGGACAACTCTGAGTGTATAACATGTGTGTTTCACCACATATATTGCACCACGTACACTGCACATCAAATATCGCTAGAGATTCACTGTTTGGGGTTCACGATGGCTAACAGTTTGCTTGAGTTATACCGCGCGCTCACATATGCACATGCGTACATACCTACACGATCACCCTTACGGTGATAACAAGGTTGTGTAGACGGGATCCAACGTCTGACTCAATCGATTTCAATATCGATCTCACTGATCTCACTGTGGCTTTTACCACCGACCGCATTATCGATCTCATTATCGATCTCACGATCAATCTCGCCCAACGGGACACCACGGGATACCTGTCAATCTCACCATCGATCTCCCTATCGATTTCAAAATCGATACCACGATCGATCTCACTCTCAACGGGACACCACGGGACTTGCTGTCGATCTCACTATTGATCTCATGATCGATCTCACGATCGATATCATCATCGATCTCACTCTCAACGGGACACCACGGAACACCACGGGACACCACGGGACACCACGGGACACCTGTCGATCTCACGATCGATTTTGCTCAACGGAACACCACGGGACACCACGGGACACTTGTCGACATCACTATCGATTTCATTATCGATCTCACTCAACGGGACACCACGGGACACCAGGGAACACCGCGGGACACCACGAGCCACCGCCAGACGGACGGACGGACGGACGGGCGGGGAAGGGTAATTTATCTTGGAAAGAGCGTGTTCTACTGCTGCTGGCGGAAAACCGGGGGGGGTCACTACCGGTTCGAACCCCTCCCCCCCCCTTCAGAAAACCGGGGGGGGTCACTACCGGTTCGAACCCCTCCCCCCCCCCCCCAGTCCATCATGAAAAGGGGAGGGGGTCACTACCGATTCGAATCCCCCTCCCTCCCTCCTTGAAAACCGGGGGGGGTCACTACCGGTTCGACCCCGCCCCCCCCTCGAAAACCGGGGGGGGGTGCGGACAGTGGTGGGGACGGTGGTGGTGGGGACAGTGGTGAGGGGACAGCGGGACAGTGGTGGGGACAGTGGGACAGTGGTGGGGACGGTAGTGGTGGGGCCAGTGGTGAGGACAAGGGTGGGAACAGTGGGGACAGTGGGACAGTGGTGGGGACGGTGGTGGTGGGGACAGTGGTGTGGGGACAGTGGGAATGTGGTGAAAGCAGTAGGACAGTGGAGGGTACAGTGGTGGTGGGCACAGTTGTGAAGGCCGTGGCGAGGACGGCGGTGGGACAATGAGACAGAGGTACAGTGGGGACAGAGGTGGGGACAGTGGGGACAGTGCTGGGAACAGTGGGACAGCTCAGTGGGACAGCGGAGGAGTCAGTGGGACAGTGGGGACAGTGGGGATAGTCGGGCAGTGGTTGGGGCCGTGGAGAAAGTGGGGAGAGTGGAGCCGTGGTGGGAACAGTGGTGGGGACAGTGGGGACAGTGCGACAGTTGTGGGGGCCTTGTTGGGGACAGTAGGGGCGGTGGTGGAACCAGTGGGGACAGCGGTGGTGAGGACAGTGGTGCTGGGAACAACAGTGGGGGATGTGGTGCGGACGGTGGTAGGGACCGAGAGTCGTTTGCTGGCGGCGAGGGGGGGGTGGGGAGGGGTTCGAACCGGTAGTGACCCCCCTCCGGTTTTCGAGGGGGGGGGGGTTCGAACCGGTAGTGACCCCCCCCGGCTTTCGAGGGGGGGGGGGGGGGGGGAGGGGAAGGGGGGGGGGGGGTAGATCAGGGGGGGTATTTTCGAAGTGGGGGGACCCCGGGTTCCGGAAGAAGAGGGGGGGGAAAGGGGGGGGAATTTTCCATAGTAAAGCGGCGGTGGATCACGCTCTCTTTTATCTTGACTTCGCCCCAGCATCGGCGGGACACCACGGGACACCGCGGGACACCGCGAGCCACCGCCGGACGGGCGGACGGGGGGAAATCATTTGGTTTGACTTCGCCTTAGCAGCGGCGGGGCACCACGGGACGCCACGGGACACCGCGGGACACCGCAAGCCACCGCCGGACGGGCTCGCGGAGGAGAATCATTTTTCTTAACTTCGCCCTAGGAGCGGCACTCCTCTCGCGCGCCCACGCAGCTTCGCCTCGTCCGCACGCACGACACGATCGAAACGAAACGATTTTCCAGTTGGGGGTCTCCGTTTCACTGCGATCTCACCCCCCGACCTTCGACATCGAGTGCGATGGGGGGAGGTGGTTTGTGTGTGTGTGTGTGTGTGATAGTGGGTGTGTGCATATGCACATGTACACATATGTGCATGCATGCATGTAGAAAGGGAGTAAGAGAGAGGGAGAAAGCGAGAGAGAGAGAGAAAACAAATCAGAGAGAGAGAGAGAGACAGAGAGAGACAGAGAAAGAGAGAAACAGAGAGAGAGAGAGAGCATGCCAGACAGAAGCGCGCAGCGCTTGCAGAGGATGTTCATTTGCGGAGGGGGGGGGACTGGGTGACATGTTGTTGCTGATGCTGCTGTTCCTTCTCCTCCTCCAGCCCATGCTGGGGAGCCCATCTTTAGATTGCATCACGAATTCACAAAGTACGATCTGTACGCCCCCCGGGGGGGAAGATGAGAGGGAGTCGGGGCCCTCCCCCTCTCATTCTCTTTTCGGGGGGCTCCCGAGGGGTCTCCCGTGGGGCCTCCCTGGGGGCCATATTGGATTGCAGCTGCTCCTCTCCGCTCTTCCTCCTTCCCGAGGAGACGGAGGAGGAGGAGGAGGAGGAGGAGGAGGAGGAGGAGGAGGAGGAAGGAGCAGGAGGAGGAGGAGGAGGAGGAGGGAGGAGGGGAAGGGAGGAGGAGGAGGAGGGTGAAGAGGAGGAGGAGGAGGAGGGAGGAGGAGGAAAAGGGGAAGAGGAGGAGTAGGAGGTGGAGGAGGAGGAGGAGGAGGACCTCCTCCTCCTCCAGGGAGGCTCCCCAGGCGCCTCCCTGGGGGTCTCCCTGGGGGCCCTCCAGGGGTGCTCCTGGCCGCGGGGGTCCCCCGGTCAAGGGCCCCCCTTCTGGGCCCTCGGCCGTCTGATCGGGACGATCGAAATGGATACGCGCCGGTCGTTGGAAGTTCCCAGGCCGACGATGTCGGGATGGGAGAAGGAGGAGCGGGGAAGTGGAGGGGGTAGCAGATAGAGGGAGAAGGAGGCGAATGAGGAGGACGAGGAGGAGGAGGAGGAGGAGGAGGAGGAGGGGGAGGAGGAGAACGACGACCAGAGTAAACTAATGTTGCACCAACGATGCTGCAAGACCCCATCCCGCCCAAAGTCCCCTCCTCGGAAGTCCTTTCAAGCTCGCCTTCCAAGCTTACATGGGTATTTCCGGACTTCCCGATCTCAATCTACTTCGAGCGCCTTCTGATTTCAATCATCGATATGTGTTTTGTGCTGGTGTTTGTTGTTATTCGGGCGGGCCCGAACCCTATCTGGTTTATTTGCCTTCGATGTCACGGCAGGGGCCATGCCATCTCCCCAGATATCATGGCGCCTCAGTATTATTCTTCCTCTTCAACTTTTTTGTGTTCTTCTTCTTTTTCGTTTTCTTTTTCGTCTTCGTATTGCTGTTTTTCGGTCCACAGCGTCCTCCGGCGCCCCCCCCCTGGGCCGCGCACGTGACGCCCATCATGAGTTGCGACTCCTCCCCTCTTGGACGCCCCCCTAAAAGACGCCCACGTGTCGGATCGGGACGACCGAAATGGGTACGGAAACGATGGGTACAACGCCCAGCACCAATGTTCATTCTGAACCGGGTCCGTCGTCGGCGTCGCCGCGGCCGTCGTCCGATTGAGACGGGGGCCGCCTGCCGAACAGCGGCCGCTGTCGGTGTTGGACAGCACATGTCGTTGGGCATCGTGCCCACTGTTCCCGTACCATTAAGTCGGGCCTGTCTTTCTACATGAGGAGTATGCAGAACTAGTCTAAACATAGTCAGGGGATGTTTTTTGATTTCTTGCCATAACAAAAAAACTGTTGATTTTTTTCCCCAAAAATCCCCCTCTAGGGGGACACGCCCGACTCAGCCTTACCCATTTCGGGCGCCCAGATCTGAGCGACAGCCTCCGTCGAGGCGCCCGCGTCATGGCGACGAGCCGCCGATGCCGCTGGCGCCGCCGGGCGGCCAGGGGCGGCGCGGCGGCGCCGCGGCGCCGCCCTCCGGCCCGGCGGGGCGAGGCCGCAGGGGGGCGGGTCAGAAACCCGGGTTGGCAGATCGGCACGGAAGCTATGGTCTAGAGTCGGGGGCGGAAAAGAGGGGGGTGATGACTAGGGGGGGGTGGATATCATGGCGTGGGCCATGATATCTCCCCAGATTTCGTGGCGCCTCTTCTTGTTTCATTACGTCCCTGGCCCCCCCGCTGGGCTGCGCACATGCCGCCGGTCATGATTTGCACCCCCCCCTCTTGGACACCCCCCTCTTGGCCGCTCCCGATGGAGAGAGGAAAGTCAGGTTGACACAAGAAGGGGGTCCAGCGACAAGGGGGTGGTGCAATATATTGGGGGTCCAGCGACAAGGATCTGGGGTTAGGAACCTAGGCCTCCCAGATGGGGTCGGAGTAGATGGAGTCGGAGGGCCGCGCCGCAGCAGATGGGGTCGGAGTACATGGGGTGTGGCACAATCGAAGAAGAAAGAACGTTTAAACGTAAACTGTTGGCGCTCCGCGCGGATTTCTTGGATCCGCGCTGAGGCCCCTTGGCGGCGCCTCTGGCGCGCTCCGCGCGCCAGGGAGGGGGTCCAGCGCGAATGCAAGACATCCGCTTGGAGCGCCAAACGTTTACGTGTATGTTTTTTCTTGTTTTAGTCTGGCACAAAGGGGTGTGGTGCCAAACGTGGAAACGGAGAGACTCTCCACGACAGAACACTGCCAAAATCAGAATTGGCACCGCACCCCTTTCTGCCACACCCCTTTCAGACCTTCAGGCATGGGTGCGGAAACACTGGATACACAAAGTCCAACGGCTGTTCTTTTTCATTTTGAGCAGGGTTCGCTGTCGGCGTCGCCGCATTCGCTGTCAATTCGAGACAGGAGGCCGCCTGCCCAACAGCGGCCGTTGTCGTCTTGGACAACATTCGATGCTGGGCATCGTACCCATGTTGTCCGTACCCATTCTCGGGCGCCCAAAGCAGAGGCCCAGGCTCGGTTCGTGGCGATCGAAACGGGCACGGGAAGACTGTCAGAGAAGGAACAGGCACCCACACCGCTTCCCTCGACTCGTGCTCCCCTTCTCGGGCGTCCTGGGAGGCCTTCGTCGCCACTGCTGGATTTGCCTCGAAGTGCTGGTCAGAGCCCACCCCGGGAGAGATCCGTGGAGCAGCGGTATCGGTCGAGGGTGGACAGAACCCCCAACAGTGACACGTCGATTAGTGAATTGTCAGTTTTCGGTTCTCGAGATGTCGCCGTGGCCGATATTTTCCAGGCTTGCGCCCGCCAGGTTTGGGCCTCAGGCCGCTTTCCCTAAACCACGTTTTGCTAAAGGGGGGTCTGTCCATCCCCGAATCGGTACATGCTGTTTACCCCAGAATTGGTGCGCAGGCCGACAGTTCCTGATCATTGCGGGGAGGACTCGGTGTCGGCGTCGCTGCGCACGTTGTCCTTTTTACACATCAGGCTGCCTGTCCAACGGCGGCCGCTGCCGGTTTTGGACAACGTATCCTGTTGGGCATCGTACCGATTTTTCCCGTAGTCGTTTCGGGCGTCCAAACCAGCACGATCGAACCGGGTACGGAAAGAGTGGGTTCGGCAGTAAATCATGGGAGTTTTGTGTACCGCCGCAATTCCGATGGACGCACGCACTGGCGTCGATGAGATAGCGCGAGTTCAGCGTCGGCTAGCGTGGATGCGTGCCGAGTTTGCGTCGGCTAGCGCCGATAGCAAGAGCCAACATGATGGTATGGGAGGTTCCCGTGATCTGCCACCGAAAACGCGCACGAAGACCGACAGCATGTCTTGTCAATGTTGTACATCATTCGCTATCGGTGTCGCCGCGGACGTTGTCCATTGAAGACAGCAAGTCGACTGCCCAACCGCGGCCGCTGTGCATTTTGGATAGCATTTGCCGTTGGGCAGCGTACCCATTTTCTCCTTGCTCTTTTCGGGCTGGCCAACAGACCTCCTCGCGGCGATTCCGTTTTGGCCCTTTTTCGGCTACCGGGGTCGTCGTTTGGTTTTGCAGGAACGTATAAGACATCTCGGGATGAAAAGCTGGTCCCAGTCAAGGGGCTTCAACCTTTGGGGGCAGATTTGGGCTTCCGGCCGACAATTCTGCTGAACATCACAGTTGTGCGGTACAGTCGAAATGGGCACGGAAACGGGAGCGACCAGGGACGAAGGCCGACAGCAGCGCTTGTCCACTGACTCGTTGACGATGTCGACGAGGACGTATCTTTCAGTTTGAAACATATCCCTGCCCCTATGGTTGGCATAACCTTACCTCGTTGGCAATCTTAAGGGTTCCCTTAGTTTCTGAGGGCGCATCCCCAAGATTGGCATCGCTTTTGGCCTGCCGACCTAAGAGATAGGGATACATCCGCTCAAGTCAAGAAATCGCCTCCCCAACAGCGGTCGCTGGTGGTTTTGCACAACGCATGCTGTTTGACATCGTGCCCAGGTTCCTCGTATCCGTGGATCTTGGCGGATCATTCCCCTGCACACTCACTCTGCACGAGAACGATTCTCGCGGTCCAGTCTCAACCAGTCAAAGGCACAAGGGCACAAGGGCATGCTTTGCATTTGGGTATGTTTCCCGCTGTTCGCTCCTTCCGCCACCCACGTCTGCGCTTTGATATTGAGGGTCCGCCGTGCGAAGTTAATGCACGACGCGCGTGCAGCAGAGTGCGGCGCAGGCGGCTTCCCAGCATGCTGCTTCGAGGCGGGGCACGCCACCAGTCCTCAAAGGGAGAGCTCGCCTGAGTTTGCCATTTCCCTTTTTCGGCCGCACCTCCCCGCTCTCCTCTTGCATGGTGGCTAATGCGCTCTAATGGCATCCCCGTTTAGGCATTCCATCGCCAGCGCATACGTCCCCTGCCTAGCCGCCGACGCAAAAAGTTGTTGCCATTCCCTACTGAGTCAGAGGGGCATCTACTCCATGTGCGGATTGAGAAGTCTGGCATGGTCCCAGCAGCAATCATGACGACGCAAGACAGCCAATGTTGCCCCACACTGGCAGCGACTGCTGTCGTGCGGGCGCTACTCGGTACACACGGGCAGCGTCCGCGGCGAAGCAGACAGCGAGCCATGTTCGACCGCCTGCCGGCCTTCGTCGCCATTGTCTCTGTCCTCTTTCTCTTGGTCTTGGTCCCCCTGAATGGAGAGGGGGGCGGGTGACATTTGCGAGATCATATTCTAAAACGGACCAAGCTTTTACTCCGTCGTCCGTCTCGTGCCCCCCCCCCAGTGGTGTCTCGTTGGCGCCTCCCGCCACTGCCCGAGCCGCCCGCCAAGTGGAGGGGATCTGTTTCTTCATTGCAGCCGGACCGAGGTATAAGATCGAGGTCGGCTCGGGGAGGGCACCCTAGTGCTCTTCGTGTTTGCTGGGCGTTCTTGAGCATCCTGAGGGGGGGGGGGCTTGGATGTTCTGTTTGCTCTGGCCGACAGAGGGTCTCATGTTCTTGAGGGGGGTTCTTCTGGCCTAGGTCCGATTGCACAAAAAAAATCGCCAGAGCTCAAGAAGCCTCTGGAGGCCTGGGAAGCCCGAGAAACGCTGGAGCACTTCCACGGCGCTCGACATCACCTGCCGATCTTTCGATCCTTTGATCTTATCCTCTCGACCTCCTTGGCCCCTGAACCTTCTCGACCCCAGGTCCTCGATCCTCGGCCTTCGGCCGTAATTGCGGATTTGGGGCGTTTTGGGGGCCCTCCAGGGGAGGCTTTGGGTTTTTGCTCCGGGGTTTCCAGATGCAGGTATCCGTGAATTTGTTGTTTTGGGGGGGTTCTGGACGCTTCTCTTCTCCTCCTGCTCCTTCTCCTCCTCCTGCTGCTCGCCATCTCTAGCCCCTGTTGCTGTTGCTCAGAAGTGATGCCTTGCTTCGGGGGTGGCCCAGAGCGCCAGTCGGGGGCGGCCAAGACGGGGGTGATGAGACTAAGAGGGGGTGGATATCACGGCGTGAGCCATGATATTTCCCCAGATTTCTTGGCGCCTCTTCATGACGTCCCTGGCCCCCCCCCTCCATTCTGTCCCTGGCCCCACCTGGCGCCAGATTTCTTCAGATTTCTCCAGATTTCATTACGTCCCTGGGCCCCCCCCCCCCTTGGCCGCGCACATGCCGCCCGCCATGATTTGTGCCCCCCCCCCTCTTGGACGCCCGCCTCTTGGCCGCTCCCGAGCCTGCACAGAGAAACGCCTGTTTGATATTTCTGCTGAATTTCGCTGCTGGCAGTCTGTGTGCACCAGCGGCGAAGGGGAGTGATAACGGGGCCTGTCCACGAGTCGTTCCGCGTTGCCCTTCCATATTCCGGTGCGCCCAGCATAGTCACTTGGGCCTCGTACGAATTTCTGTGAACCTCACATGGTCGATACCCCGTCGGTACTTCCGAAGCTCATAGTTCGAGTGGCGCTCACCCGCCTGCAATCTTGCAATCTGGCCGCTTTGACATTATTGTGCCGATGGTCTACTTCCCACCTCGCCATCCGTCAAACGCGAAGGCCGCGAAAGCGGCAATGTTTCTCGTTCTCATATTTAGTATCGTGTCTCGGTGGGCGTTCTTCGTGATTCGTTTTTTTTAATTTTTATTTAAAAAACCAAAAAAACTACACTGACTTGGTCCGACAGCCGATCCGCCTTATTTTCAGGGTTCGTTCTGAGCGACGGATCCAGCCTGCGCGCGCACTCCCACGGGGTCACCAAGGCGATCGCCTCTCCAGCTTCAAGTCCGTTCGGCCTGGCACTTTAACGACGTGCAGCTGACATTTTGGTCGCACTGACCGAGGACCTCGGTGCGCGCACCGTCACGAGCGAATGAGACATGGACCCCACTTCTCATGGCAAGCGCAACGCCTCTCACCTAGATCAGATTGCCACGTTTCAGTGGCAGACCCCCTCGGTCAGGCAGCTAATTCCGCTGTGGCGATCCAGCCTCCGGCCCAGGCCGAACCCACACTGTGGCCTACAGGGCCATGTGACATGTGCCTATTGTGGTGGGCAGTGCGCTGGACCCCCCCCGGCCCCCCCGCCCTTA